GTAGTTCTGCTCCAAACCACAAGCTCCCTGGGACAATTCTTCAACCACACTCTCTGAGAATACCCTCCATTTGAAACTTTTTCTTGATCATGTGTCTAATTTCACCTGCACATTTTGTTACAGTGTATATGGCTTTGCTGATTCTTCTACTTACCAAAAAAAACCTCAAAAAAAATCACTTTCATATCTCTTGCATTTTTTAGACATTGCCTCTAAGTATTCTTTCCCAGTTTTCCAGTTCTCTCTACTTTTCAGTTATTCTATTTTAAAATTAGAATCTGAAAAATCTTTGCAAACCTGTGGTAATATCATTTTGCATCCCCAAGAAAAATGACGAAAGCTACCTTCAATTTATAAAGCAGAATTTCTGGTTTAAAAGACAGGTCTGAGGAAGTAAGATGGCAGAATGACACACTTTAAAATATATTTGATATAACTATTTAAACAAATTTGAATGTAATAGGATCTAAATAATTATTTTAATGCTTGTTCTTACAAATATTCAGCTTCACCCTTCTCCCACCTATTTAAGGAATATATGCTCTCATGTAAGGATTATATAATGTTGATAGAATTCTTTTATGAAGGTAAATCTACTGGAACTATTGAAGCAAGGGTTTTTTTGCCCCCCCCCCCGAATTTGTTGGAAGGACACTGAACTGACCTTTGAGATAAACAGGGGAGATGATAAATAATTAGTAGTAATCATAATAATAAAATTTATTTCCAATATCTTTTAGTTTCTCCCCCTGCCAAATTGCTGATACATCATACTAGAATACAAATCTTTTTATTCATCTGCTCATCTGCCTATAAACTTGCAGAGACTTTCAATTTCAGCAAACTGATAGCATATTTCCATACATTCTGTATGGCATGTCTAAATATTTTGATGGTTTTAATATTTTGTACCAGCTGTGGAAACTGGTTTGCTGCTAGGTGGCTGTAAAAGTGAGATTTGGTAAATAATTATTAGAAAACTTACACTAACACTATGATTGAAACAATAGACAAAAGTATAGCCAAGCAATTAACTAGTAGAGGTAGTTACTCATAAGTTTTGCAGTTCTTTGCTCTTATGACTAGATGTTCCTGTACGCCAGATGAGAACAATGTTGAAACTGACCACATGTGATTCAAACTGCATTAAGCTTCAAGATCAAAGAACAAGGACAAGAACAAAGACTTCAGGGACAGCCAACAGAATCTCAAATGGTTGGTGGTCGTAAAAGCAGCCCTTTGACTCAAATGGATCCTTCATTGTGCATGATCGGATGTAGGCAGTACTATGATAATCAGTTACAATAATTTTTATGTGTATGTATACTAACCAGATTAATATGTAATTGTTACTCCATATAACCTGTTAGTGCTAAAGCTGTGGCATGCACACTTGGTGGAACTATCCCCCATGCATCCAGTGCTGCGATAAACAATGCCTGCTTTCTAAAACTCCAAAACAAGTCTTAGTTTCTTCAACCAGCTTTTCAGGATCACTGTTCCACACTTTTCTTTTGAACTTATCTAACCATAAAGTTTCAGATTTTAGTGTAAAATAAATTACCTGTTGAATACAACAGAAAATCTAAGTTGTGTTGATGTGCGGAAAACAGACTCCACAATCACTGAGACTGTAAAGTAGGTATGTTCATTCAGCACTGGGCAACACGGTGGGTAGTGCCACCAAAGTTATGCGCGCCTGACTTGGCAGTTCGCCTCAAGTTTATACAGTCAAGTGTTACATATTCACAATACGCCTATACATATGCATGGCCTATCCCCGCTTCATATTAAAATTAGCTCCGAGAGGTCATTTGCATAGTCTCCTCTGGTTGTCTGATGGTTGCAGAGATGAAGATAGATGACTCCTCTTCGTCACCGCTAATAACCTTTTTTCATGCGCAGGCTCAGTGGTTTCTTGGTATTTAGCCAAGCTGTAAGGCCAGTCTTGGCTGGTTCTTGGGGCCAACTCCTGCTTCTTATCAGGAGCTGTCTCTGCCTCATTGGCTAGCTCTTGGGACCAGCTCTTCTTATCAAGGACTGTCTCTGACACAGCTAATTTCAACAATGTCAGCGCTAAACATCATCTTTTATCCCTCTTTATTAAGTCTACTGAGATTCTTTTGACTCCCCTTGTTCAGTGTCATAATAAGAATGGCACATTAACGGCTTCTGGCACCCCTTACAATAAAAATCTGCTTAATTTTTATTGTAACCTTACCGAACTGTCAAAGCTGGTGTTTAAATATGTGTTTGGGCTGCTTGATTGGTTCAGACTGATTCTGTCTCTTTCCTTTTCCTGTCTTTGCTTTTCCAGGGTCTCAGTGCACAAAGATGGGTTTTCTTAGAGTGGTTTACACCCAACCTTTAGAAGAAGGACCTCAGTATAGACTATGATATGATAGTCAGTGAAGCACGTGCCTGTTTTATGTGTTCCCTCAACACAGACTGTTTTTATAATTGACTCATAACTTAGACCTTTAAGGAAGCATGTGATGGGAGGGAGAAATAACATTTTATACATGCTTGATTGTAACTCTCAGGTGTAAATCTCTTCAAAAATCATAGATACTATTTTCACAGATTGTGAAACATGGGCTTATAGAAGTCTTCACCTGCAGTTGTTTTTTCTGCTACTGTGGTTTGGGGAAATGTTTCCTAAACTCCTAAAATCTCATGCTGATTAATATAATGCAGAAAAAAGAATGTATTGTTGTGTGCCTGTGTCAGCCCTGGGGAAGAGGATCCAGGAGCTGGGAATCTGACTACACCTCAGTTAGCAGCTGATATCTGTAGTGTCTTCAGGGCTGCTTCAAATATTGAAGGGTGGCCACTTTCAAATTGCACTATTTGTAATTCTAGTTCAGAGATAAAAATCTTGTGATTCAGAAGGCTCCAGCCCTGTTCACAACCTGTACTTAATCTGGACAGGATGCTCTAGGCTGTAATTAACACCTTATTTTCTTGCATTAAAACCTTACTGTTTACAAGTAGTCAATCAATAGGAAATACCAGGGTTAAGTATGCCTGTTTAGTCTTAATGTATTTCTATTTGTATGCCACAGTCTTTAACTACAAACTATTTTCTTTTAGATGCTAGCTTTTATTTGGAGTACAGAAAAGACAAAATGAGAAAGTTAATGAGCAGCTAAATACTGATTTAGCCTCACTGTCTAAAAGTGTGGTGCCATGTTTTCTGAGCTAACTTCTCAGTGGGCTCATCTGCCAGCACAATTCAGACATTTGTCTTCTCTTAGACATGTAAAAAGGGTCATTGTCCCCCTTCCCAATTTCAAGATTAGAAATTGAGACAGAGAGATTAAAATCAGCAATATCTGATAAATTTGGATGTTTTGGATTGAGCCAGGCAGGACCTGACAACATCACAAAATCTTTCCCACATTTGAATCATAGCTTATACTGTTTTCATCATCTCAGCACTTCAGAAATTCATGTTGCAACATCCCAGGTCAGACAGTAAGAAAAAGTAACCCACAGCTACTGACAACTTGAGCAGAATGTCATAGATGTGATTTGCTTAAACTGACCATTTTTTCCCTCTTGAGAACTTCTCTCTCATTCACTTTCAGTTTCTCAAAAAAAAAAAAAAAGTATTATTTAATACATATGTTGGATCATTTCCAAAGCAGGTTTGTCTTGTGGACTGAATTAACCGGGATTCTATTCTTCTGTACATTATACATTATAATATAGATTATAATGCAGCTAACCTACCATTGTACCTCCTGTTCAGCTATATGCAACAGCAAACTGACAAGCCAGTTGATCATTTTGCACATGGAGATTTAATGATCCTTTCCAGATGGGTATTTTTACTGCTGAACTTGTAAGAATCAAATGGGAAAACCTCTGTTGAGCCAGTAACGTCTTAATGTTGCCGAAAAACTCGGAATAAAGAACTTATCAACACCAATTTAGTGTAGATAAGCAGACACTTCTTTATTGAAGGCTGGGTGCGCGGGTGAGTCCTCTCACGAACCACGCACACCTGAACACCAAAATCATACACCTTATATCAA